GTTGAAAAGAAGCCTGAGCCGTCGACCACAAGGGACATTACAGAGAAGAAACACGGTGGTCGAAACAATGGCATTAAATGTGACCACCCTTCTTGGGAATTTCTGCTGAGTCATTTTTCAGGAAGTGGGCTGTCCAGGGAGGTTTCTGCAGGAGGAACAATTGACAACATTTTCATATTAATAACCTCTAGTTGCTTTATTGTTCTCAAAACTTTTGTTAATGAATATTTTCCTGTTTGGTGAAAAAAAAAGTTAATCAAAAGACAAAGTCTAATCTATTTGTATGTGTTTGGAGTTCTCTTCTGTGATAGTAAATACATTTAAATAAGAGTTAGCTCACTGTAAATCATTCTCATGCATTGAGCATAATATCAGGAAATATGTTTTCTAATTTTTTAAATTTTGCAGTAGATCTCAATATGCTAGGCAAGTACTCCACCCTGAGCTACACCCCAAGCCTTGAACTTAAAAAAAAGTGTTCTATTAAAGAAACTGGATACACTCCTTAGAGTCAGTATAAATAATCATTTGGAATTCAGATTCCCTTCAGGGCAATAGCAATGTTCCCACTCCATGGTTTGGAACCTCTTCTGCTCAACTCAGTTTCAGATTTCTCTGTTATATCTCAGACAAACAATAATTGGGTAGCCCCTTGGAGACCAGCTGAAGGACTGGCCACTCAGAGGCCCCTCAGAGAACCCTCCAGCGGGACCGTCCAGGACGGATCCCGCCAGTGTGTCCCTGGAGACTGCCAACTGTACTCACTTTTTGGCCCAACTCCAAAGCACAGAGCCTCTCCCTTAGCTTGCAAATGAGGGTTCATGACAAGGGGCAGAAGTTACCTGCTCATGAAAGGAAATTGTGAAATCAGAACATTGTGTGATTATGATTTCTGCTAGTACAAGTAATTACCGTGCTTGTTATCTGATTTAACATAAATACTTCCCGCACCAGCTGCCTATGCAAGCCTGTTGATAAAGTCCCACTGCACGTGCACGGTGCACTTTTCCTTCTGTCCTAGATGACACAGGTAGCGGGTCCAGCTCTGCTGTCAGGCGCCAGCATCAAAAAAGGCTGTCTTCCGCACAGGGCAGCAGTTTGGGGCGGAGACTGATAGTGGAGGGCCTGGGTTAAAATCCTCCCTCTGCTATGCATTACCTGTGTGATATTGGGTACTTCCTTATCCCTGGAGTTTTCTCTTCTGATGAGCTCCTGTCCCATAAGTTTGTTGAGAGAATCAACTAATTAATGGGAAAAAAAATTCAGAACAGGACCGGGAAGGTAATACACTACATAGAAGCATTCATTAATCAGTATTATGCCATTGCTTAATGACAGACCATATGTATCTTTGAGGGTGATTTTTTTTTGAAGGCAAGGTCTCACTAAGTAGCCCAGGTATGTGCCACAAAGCCAGGTTGAAGGTAATTTTTTTTTTCAGTACTGAAACTTGAACCCAGAGTCTTTGTACTGAGCTACATTCCTAGCCCCTCTTTCCTGTTTTGAGACAGGTTTTCGCTAAGTCACTAAGTTGCTCAGGTTGGACCCAAACTTGAGACTCTCCTGCTTCAGCCTCCCGGAGTGTTGGGATTACAGGCAGGTACAACCACGACTGGGTGATGATAATGTTTTTAAGGTGCTGATTTATACTTGTAGACTGATGCATGTTCATTATATAGTTATTTCCTGTGTACCCTTCTATATGTTTTGTTAATTTACTCATTCATCATTTAAAAGAGAACTACATACTTAAGAATCTACTTAGGAATAAGCCCCTGAGAACCAGAGTTCAGTGGAAAAATTTCCCTTATATTCCAACTCAACTAAAGGAGGGTGGAGTTTGGAAGTGAGGAATCTGCAGTCCACACCCGTGGACACCGGCTGGAAGGATCACTTCTGCTCCTCAGAGTCAGAATTTGGACTCAAATTCTGCTTAACTATAGAGCTCATAACTGGCAGAGGAGCACGCTGGAGAACAAAGGTGCTCAACCCATGGCAGTGAGAACAGGGAGAAAGGAGAAGCCACAGAGAAGAATACATCATTCTAGGTTTTATGCCCTAGTGACCCACCTCCAACAGGCCCCACCTCCTAGCAGCACACTTGGAGACAAAGCCCGCGATGGATGAATCTGTGGGTCAGTACAGTGCGCCCATGATCCAACCACGCTCGCAGCCCCATCTCCAAACATCTGAGCCCTTTGGGAGACATTCTAGATCTAAATCCCAACATCCTTCTATAAGCCACTCCTCTTCATGCACTAAACAGCCACCTGCTAATAATAGTGTCCCCAAGATGGATATACCCAACCCACTCTTGCTCTCCAAATCTACCTCTGCCCCGCTGTAACCTGTTAGCTCTGACCTGGGCCCTGCTGGATGTGTGTCAATGCTGTTCTTTTTCTCTGGAATGACCTTCTATATATCAGTGGTGGACAGATTTCTACGCATTCTGCAAGACTCAAAGCAGACAGCCTCTTCCTCACAGCCACTCCAGGTTGGGAACTGTATAACTCACTTAGGATATAATTTGGATAACAGACATATGTACTTTATTTACAATACTAAATTCTTTGAAAACCACCTCTGGGTGTTATTCACCTTCATAGTTCTTACAAGCACTTATAAGAAACAGGACCTCATACCTAGAAGTCTTCAGTAAGTGCTTGTTGGAATAATTAACTAATTAATGTAGTAAAATAGAACCATTGTATTTTAGGATGGTGAGTTATTTTTCCACTAATTCTTTGTCTTCGAATTTCCCATTACTTGCTTTCGCTTTTCCTGATTGGTCACTAGTCAGAAATTCTGAGGTTGTTAGCAGTCTATTTTACAAAATTTGGGGGAGAAAATTTATTTTATAAATCCTTAAACAATCTAGCTCCTTACAAGGACAACTATTATAGAATAAAAATTGAGAGAATGACTCACATGAATTCCTTCTTTTCAAACATGCTATGATAAAAAGAAAAGTTTCCATTTATACCACGTTTTACAGGGTTATGGTTCAATAGGTGATCTGTATGCTTCCTTTTTACTCCTAAACACATGTGTTCCTTTGTTTCTCGGGAAGTAATCATCATGTAGCCATGGAAATCAGCAAGTGCAAAGGAAATGTTGCAGGGAATAATGAAGCCAACTAACTGAACTCCACAAAGTTGGTCACATCCTAAAACAATTAAAATTACACAACCATGCAAAAGCTCTTAGTGGAAGTGTTGATCAGCGCTTGGTATTTTGATAATAACTTGTACAATGTGTGAAAGAATTTAAATAAAATATTTAAAGCATTTATAAAATGTAAGACATTATCAAGACCAATGAATGAACAAATATTTATTGAGTGACTACTTACTATAAAGTAAAACCCTTTTGTACATATTCCCTCATTTTATCATCTCATCAGCCCTATGGAAAACCTGTTTTCTGTATTACCTCCATTCTAAAGATGAAAAAAAACTTATATTCTGAGAGTTTAAATGACTTGCCTACAGACTAGTGTGCGACAGCCCTTGAAGGAATGTGTTCTTTCCACCAATCAGAATTCATCTTAGAGATGAAAATTTCCATATTTCCTGGCCTGAATCTCCACAGAGACTCAACACAAAGCCCAGCCTGGGCAACATAGCAATTTAGCAAGACCCTGTCTCAAAACAAAGAATAAAAAGTGTTGCAGATATAACTTAGTGCAAAGACCTTAAGTCCCATTCCTTGTACAAAACAAAACAAAAAACAAATTAAAATGAACAAAACAAAAAAACTCAATGCAGAACAATCTCCCAACTTTCCACATTTGTAACCATTTCTCTCTCCACTTAATTAGGCTCACAATTCAAAATCTTGCAGGTAGTGTTGTGATCTGTAGGTTTAAGACTTTAATCACAATTAACAGAAAAGATCAAGGCTTTACCTTGTGTTTTTGTTTTTCAACTATTTTTTAGGTATCAGTATCACATCTGTCAAATTTTGATACTATAGACCTTATTAATTCTCTTTTTCTGATAATAAAGCTGGTAATATTTAAATCTTTATGACGATCCAAAGTTTGTGTTATATAAAAATTTGTCTTGTGATACTGTTTTGGTGGGGGGAGTTGAGGGTTGCAGCAGTGCTTTAATCCTTAGAGTCTCCAAGTAACGGAGTTTATCTTTAGTGGAAACCTGTGGACTCAGTCTCATTACTTTATAAGCCATACTTTGTTTAATGCAAATTATATTATTAATTTAATTTCTCATGTTGAAATTCCAGATATGGACTAGGACCACCTAGGACTGGTGTGGCAGCTCCGTGAAATCATCGGACACCCGGACTTCTTCTGTTTTTCTGCTTTCCATCCTCACCAGTGGTTCCCATCTCCATTTCAGGATGAAAAGCTGCTACAGTAAAGACCCCCATTAGGCCACAGGAAGGAGGCTAGGAGGAGCACAGAAAGGATAAGAGTCTTCCAAGAGTCTTCCTGGAAAATCCACCCAGCCACTTCTGCTTATCTCATTGGTTGTGGTTTAATTACATGGCCCCACCTATCTGTACCTGAGGCTGGTCTAAGGAAGAATAGAAAGGGTAGAGATGGAGTACAGGGAAGGTATATATATTGCAGGCACAGTACATGAAGGAGCAGAGGAATAGAAGGGCCCATACAAACGATGAAATTCTCCAAAATGGAAGAACAACTGGGTTTAGATCTTGAGTCTGCTACTTGTCAGAGGTAGCAGAAGCAGGGAGGCTGCCTACAGGGTGGTTTGGACTAGGGTGGTAGGAATGACGGTGGCAAAAAGTGGTCAGATTCTGACTATACTGAAAGTGAAACTAACTGGATTTGCTAATGGATCAGAACATGAGGTATGAAAGACTGAGGAGTTAAGGGTGGCACCAAGATTTCGTTTGTTTAAGTAGCTGGAGAACTGGCGTTACTACTTCTGAGGAGGGAGCACTGCAGGAGGAGCAAGTTCCGGTTGAGAATGGAGGCTCAGAAGTCCAGAGGTGCGTAAAACATCCAGCACGGCAGGAGGGAGCACTGCAGGAGGAGCAAGTTCCGGTTGAGAATGGAGGCTCAGAAGTCCAGAGGTGCGTAAAACATCCAACAGGAGCTCCTGAATGAAAGTTGCACGTACAGTCTGGAGCGGGGAGGTGCTACAAACAGGAGATAAATATATTTACACGTCATCAGTATACAGATAGTATTTAAAGTCCTGAGAATGTGTGAAATCATCAAAATGGTAAGTGTAGGTGAAAAACAGAAGAGCTTCAAAGACTGAGCCCCAAGGTCCTCTACCACAGAGCAATCAAGGACCAGAAAAACCACCTGCTGGGGTTGTATGTTACTTAATGGTAAAGCTGCTGGGGTTGTATGTTACTTAAAGGTAAAGCTATGGAAGGCACTGAGTTCAGTGCCTGGGAGGGAGGGAAAGGTAGAGAGAGGGGACAGAGAAGGAGAGAGAGAGAGAGAGACAGAGAGACAGAGAGACAGAGAGAAGAGAGATGGAGGAGAAAACAAAGAAGAGCCGGAGGGGAGGAGAGGGGAGAGGAGGGAAGGAAAAGGAAGGGAAGAGGAGGAGAAAGCTGGGCATGGTGGTGCACACCTGTAATCCCAACACTTGGGAGACTGAGGCAGAAGGATTGCTGCAAGTTCAAGGCCAGCCTGGGCTATATAGTGAGCTCAAGGCCAGCCTGAACTGCATAGCAAGACCCTGTCTAAAAAAAAAAGAAAAAAGAAAAAAAAGAAAGAAAGAAAAAAACAGAAAAGAAAACTCTGAAGCAATGAAGTAGAAGGAAAACCAAGAAGGCAATGGAAGCCAGATGAAGGAAACATTTATGAAAAGGGGGAGACTGTTCAAACGCCGTGAAATAATATGAGGATTGCCAATTAACCACTGCCTTTGCTTTGGTGGGCTTACAGGTGCAATTTGGTGGACGATGGAGGTAAGAGGAGAAAAAAAAAAAAACAAGATGAAAAGAATTAGAAGCAACCTTTTTGAGGAATTTTTCTGAAAAGGGAAGGACAAAAATGGTAGGTCATCTAGACGAGGAATTGAGACTAAGAACACTGTGCTTTGTTTTGTTTTGTTTTGTTGTTTTGTTTTGTGGTGAGAGAACATTTACATGGCACGGGGAAAGACCGGCGGTGCAGGCGAGCGAGGGTGGCCTGCAGCACTGTCCCTGACTGAGTGGGTGGGTATCATGTGCAAGTGCAGGTGTCAGCCTTTGCAGAGCCATGCAGAGTTCATATAAATGAACAAGAAGGAAGGCAGAGTCTGTGCACACAAATGCTGGTAAGTAGGTAGCTAATTTGGGGCAGTTACATTCCAATGGTTTCTGTGTTCTCAGTATATAGGACGCAAGGTCACATAACAATGAAGCTGGGAAACTTTGACAAGGTGTGCGATAGCCCTCCTCCAGCACAGTGAGGAATAAAGAACCAAGGGAAAGGCATAATACAGTTGCTGAGGAGCTTTAAGGGTTCACTAGAGATGAATGATCAAGAATGAGGCCAGCTTGGCTGTGTGCCTTTCTCCGGCTGTGTTCAGCTACGCAAACGGGGTAGGGGAAAGTCCAATCTCACAAAGGTTGTAGTTTAGCCAAGTTAGTGTAACAAAGTACGAGGGACACAGGTTCAAGGGTATTTTCAAGAGGGTGGTTAAAATGTTCGACCACAGAGTTGACCTAGGTTAGGAGGGAAGTAACATGGAAAGAGTGACTGAAAGTGAAAATATACAGTAGCAGCATCAGTGGCTTTGGGGTTCCAGTGGAGGTGAGGATTGTTAGCATTTACAGAGTGCATGCGGCACTAACAAAGAGCTTGAGCTACACAAATCTAAGCCTTGATGATATCTAACGATGTCTAAAATTAAGGGGCTCGCCAACATGAGATCACCCACCAAAAATAAATAATCAGCTTTTTTCCAGGCCCTCTCAACCACTGACCCGCTGCACAGAGGGACCTCCTTATGTGGCCTGATTAAATCCTGTTCTTGAATTCCAGTTTTCATGCACTTCCTGCCATTTTCTGCAAGCAGCAAAGCCAAGATTCCAGTGGGCTCTCTGACATGGCAGAATGCCAGGTCAACCAAAGAATCTGTACTTTCTACAGCCTCGGTGGAGAATTGAGCATCAGAGCTCTGGCAGTCTGTTGTGTTAATCAGTTTGCAAGGTGAGGCCACATGTGCTCCTAAAGCAGCTCATTAAAGCTGCTCCTCTTTCCTGATTCCCACTCTCACCCTGGGTGTGGAATGGAACAATAAATCTGAACTGCCTCTTGCCAGGCTTTTTAAATAGGAACAAAAAGAATCTAGCACCTGGGACATGTACAAGAAAGGAACAAAGTACTCCAAGTCGAACATCACAGGAAAAGCAATCTGAGCAAGTTGCCAGAGCCTGATTTTTTCCAGCCAGTAACTAACAAATGTACTCACTAGCATCTTTATATTATTGACTGACATGACAACACACCACAATCAAAGAGCTCTTTGCAGCTATATGCTGAGTACCAAAGAGCATATGCACAATTCATGCTGAGACCCTCCTTTCTCTTTCTCTCTCTGCCTCAGAAAACCCAGTTTCTTTTAGTCTCTAAATTTATGACCCCGTAGCCCAGGATTTCCAGCTTCTCTAGTACAGAAGTCTCCTATCAGCATCTTAGAATATTACAGCTGTTTCTTGATTGGGTACTATGGACCTGAAAGAGAAGAAAAGTCAATTAATAGTCTTCCAAAAAAAAAACACAACAACTTCTTTTTAAGGATCTCTCAGCAGTAAATATAGAACCAGCTATCCAGAGGTTCTGAAAAATATCAGTTCATTTCCTTAATTATAATGAATAAAATGAGCAAGGAAGGTGTTTTGGTTTCTTGAACTTAAAGAAAAAACAGAGATCATTTATAATTTTAAAACAAGTGTCAAATACTGCTTCTTTTTCACTTTTTGAGTTAAGGCCTACAGAACTTACAGTATAATTGTCACCCTTCCCAAATGCCAAGTCTTATACATTGTTGAACTTAGATTATTAGGTAAAGATTTGTCATCAGAGAATGAACTGAAATCAGAATGCCTTGCTCCTATAAGTTAAAAAAAAACAAACCTTTAATGATTCTTTTTAGTGTGGGGTTGAGTAATATTTAAAGCACTAAACTGTGTCTCTAGTATTTGAGGGGATAAGGTTTAGAGTTCATTGTGTTGACTGTCTTTTCAAAGATTAGATAGTTTAGTTAGGCTCCTACTGGCCGTGCAAATGTCTCAGTGTTTATTGACTGTCTGCAGTCATTATCAAAGACTCTGAACACAATCGACACCTTGTAAACAGAAATCCCATTATTTTTGTGGTACTGATAAGATTTACTAAGAATTTAATTTTTTTATGATTGATTGCCCAGTTAAAGGTATTAATTCAGTACAGAAGAGTATAAATGAGTATGAATTCAGTCAGCGAACCTGCCCTTTTATTTTTTTAATTATAATTTCTTTTTGCTTATAGTGGTGGAAATAATTATCTGAACAATGTAAAAGGTCAAACAAGGTACAAATATGACTTAAGTACATTTTAATATGTTATATACATTTCTATTGATACTTCAGTAATCTACAAAGGAATTTATGTTTTCTTGGAAAGATGCTTTAAGTCATTCAGTATACAGAAAAATTATATAGTGTGCTAATTTAGTTTGGAAATATTAAAAAGACTTATTTGCTGGATGTTTTGTGAATAAATTTTATTTTATTTTATTTTATTCTTTTGCAGTGCTAAGGATCAAACCCAGGGCTTCATTCATACTAAGCAAGTGCTCTGCAATACATCCCAGTTCATAGGCCTGCATTTTAAGATGCTTTAATGAAAATAAAATTCCTACAGTTAGACAGTAGGTATGTTTGACCATAGGTAAGATCCGTGGATCAATGTGAGTTTACTCTGAATTTGGTGATTTCTGGTAGGGAGTTGCCATCAAGCATTTGTTCCTGCCCCTGGTGAGATGCACGACAGATGGAAACGTGCCTTCCCTGGGGATCTGCATGGCAAGGCTTCAGGAAAATATGACTGACAGTATTCAAAGTCTAATCAAAGCAAGAAAGAGCCTAGTGGCAGGAAGTATTGGAAAATACTCAGCAGAAAGACAGAACTGAGATTAGGCAGTTTTGTCTGAGAGAAAAGAAAAGGTGTCCCCCAGACCTTTGATTTAGTCCATGTAAAATACACATCACTTGACACAAAACATAAAATCTTATGAAGCCCCAAGGCACCTCTACAACTTCAGCTCCCACCTCTGCTCCAATCATACCAGCTCCACACTCTGCGCCTTCACGCCCCAGGGCCTTTGTTTTTGTTTCCTGCTCCCTCACCTCACCTGCTGACATGAAGCTCCTCTTCAGTCTGCAAGTCCAGCCATTGCTCCTCTGTGATTCTTCCTTCACAAACTCCCATATACAAGTGGCCCACGTACTATGGTGTGTTCACAGACACCTAACAATTGCTTCCGGTATCAACTATCCCACATATGTAAGCACCTAGAAGGCAGGACTCGATCTTACTCTTGCTCTCCTTCTTCTAATATCCCAGGGTCTAGCATATACTAGATGCTTAATAAATGTGCAAATCAGGAAGAAGCAAAGCCCTTATTCATGCCTCCGCTGTCACACACACATCCTCTCTTTTAATAGGAGGTTAACCCCTCCTCCAGAGCCAACTGCTTTTTGGAGACTTCCCTGGCCAATGGGCTCCCACTTCTTTAAAATCTCATAGCATCCAAGTGAGAACTGCATACTTGACACTTAACAGAGTATGTCCTCATCTTAATTGTGTTTTTATATGTATGTGCTATTTCCCCAACAGCAATCAAAGAGCTCTTTGCAGCTAGAGCCTGGGTCTTTAACCTTTTGCATCACAAACAATGTTGCTGCTGCTCTCTCTGGGGCTGTTACCTACCAAGTGTTTGGTGATTACAGAGGAGATGGGGGGACAGGATGTCTGAAAGGGAGAACTGGAAGGTTATTTGACAGGCTAAGTGAAGAAGGTAATTTCTGAACAGCTCAGACCAAAACAGAGCTCAAGCTATAAGGAGAAGGAAGCAGACCACCCCCAAATCCTCAAGTGCCTCAAAGTCAGACAAAGCCAGTCCATCAAGTATTTATTGAGGGGTGAGGGGAGGGTGCACATAGGCTACTGAAAAGCCGGGACAGCATAAGAAGAAACACATGTCCAGTCACTGAAGACAAACTGGTCAAGAGAGAGTAAGTCATAACAGTAAGAACTCACTAAGCACCAATTAAGTGCTCAATATTTGATATACACACTCTAACAGTTTTATTGAGATATAATTTATATACCGCAAAATTCACCCATTAAAAGCATACAGTTCTGTACAAGCGCCTGCCTGGCAAGCTCAAGGTCCTGAGTTTGATTCCCAGTACCAAAATAAATAAATAAATAAATAAATAAATAAATAAATAAAAAATACACAGATTTGGGCAACCAACAGCACAATCAATTTTAGAATATCTTCACCACACCAAAAAGAATCCCCATATTCATTAGCAGTTGCTCTGTTCCTCTTGTACCATTGCCCTCCCACTGCCTCTTCTAACCATAGCCAACCAACAATCTGCTCTGCTTTTACAGATTTGCCTGCTTTGGATAGTTCATGAAAAATGGAGTACAGTATGGTTTTTGTGTCTGGCTTCTTTCAGTTAGCATTTTTTCAAGGTTCATCCACATTGCAATATATATCAGAATTCATTCCTTTTTCTTGTCAAATAGTATTCCATTGTACAGATGTATCACATTCTGTTCATCTGTTTATTTATTTATTTATTTATTTTGGGTTTTTCTCCGGTACCGGGAACCAAACTCATGACCTTGCACTTGCCAGGCAGGCACTTTGCCGCTGAGCTAAATCCCCAGCCCCTCATCTGTTTATTAATGGATGGATACTGTGGACTGATTCTTGAAAAAGTTTTTTTATTTATTCTTTTTTTATTTTGTTGGCTTGTTTGTTTGGTTGGATTTTGTTTTTTTTTCTTTTCTTTCTTTCTTTTTTTTTTTTTTTTTTTTGTGGTACCAGGCATTGAACTCAGGACCTTGCACTCTCCAAGCAGGTGCTGGCTTTAGAGACAGGATCTTGCTAGGCAGTTCAGGCTGGCCTTGAACTCACTATGTAGTGCAGGCTGACCTCAAACTAGCAGCAATCATCCTACTTCAGCCTCCTAAGTGTTGAAATTGTAAGCATATAATACCATTATAGGCCACCACACCTGGCTTTCTTTCATTTATTCTTTTTAATACTCCTGGGAGTTAGGTGTCATGTCCTCATTTTACAGATGACTAAAGTGAGGCTCAGAAAGATTAACTACCCTGCCCTCGCATATAAATAATGGCACTGGAACTGAACTCAAAGTGGCCTGAGTCCAAAGCCTCCCTGACTAATCATCATCTGTGCTATTTGTCAAACATAGTCAGTGGAAGGACCTAGATCACACCAAATTCCAAAGGCCCATAGAGATCATTGGTGCTCCCCATCTTTCAAGGAATTTAAATAAAAATGTGGAATACTGTACTTGTGAATATACATGAGCTTTGGAGCTAGACAGTCTTAACATTCTAGCTATGTGCTATAGGGCAGGTTGCTTAATTTTTTTGAGCACCAATTTCCTCTCCTACAAAATGTAGATAATTCCTATCTTATAGGATTGTTGCGAGGATTAAATGAGTTGACAATATGAACATATAGTAGGTAAGTAAAATATGGTGGTTATCATTATCGTTACTGTTTGCCACTGTTAGCAAAAGTAAACCTCAATCTCCCTCCCTCCCTCTCTGTCTCTCTCTTTCTCTCTCTCCCTCTCTCTTTTTCTCCTTCTCTCTCCTTTTCTCTCCCTCTCTCTCTCTCCCTCTCTCTCTCTCCCTCTCTCTCTCTCTCTCTCTTTCCCTGTCTCCCTCTCCCTCTCCCTCTCTTCACAGAGAGAAGTCTGGGGAGGTGACTTGTTGGATACATGGTGGTGGGGAATCCAGGCAGAAATCTCTAGTGGCTGCAGAGAGATAAGAGGCAGGAACTCAGGTGAGAGGTCAGTGACAGAGATATAGATTTTGGGGTTATCAGCGTGGAGGTGAGGGCTGAAGCTATGACAACTTTTCAAATAGAACCAGAAAGAAAATAAGTTAATCTAGTGCCTGAGTCTTGGGATGTCCACAGTGAAGGCCAGGAGAAAGAACAGGAAGCAGTAGAGGCTACAGAAACAAGGACTTAGAGGGCTTGTCGTTAGACCAGAACAGCATTTAATTTTGAAAGCTTGGGGAAAAAGATATTTGAGAAAGGGATAAGAGGTAAGGAAGAAAATTGAGAAGGTTAAATTGTCAAAAGTTTTCTAATAATGAGATCTGAGAATAGAACATTAAATTTGCTGTCAGGAAGTCTATGGTAGCCTTGAATGCTGAGCATCTACCCACCCATCCACTCCTGAGTCTATTAGTTGTTTGTTTTGTTTTGTTTTTTAGCATCCATTGAACATCTGCCACACCTCTGTATCACACTGTTCTAGACCTCTGAGAAATATATGGATAAAACACAGTCCTTCGCTACACTAAGCCTGATACAAAAACAGAAGTCCAGTGTTCTGAGAACATTTTGTATGTAAGTTGGGTCCAGCAGAGGAAACCAGAGATCCACTGGGCTGTGAGAGAAGGAAGATAAAGAATGAGCACATCAGAAGGAAACTAAAGCACAATGTCAAAAGCAGGCCGAACGAGAGGAAGGGCTTTCTCACTTTATAAGAGGAGCTAAAGAAAGGGAGAAGAAAAGGCAAAAGCATCTGGGTTTGCTTATTTGACCCAAATGCCACCTAGAGGCTTCTTCTTTTTTCATTGGTTTATAGTTAAGATGGTGCTACACTGAATCTACCAATTTATGAAACTTAGGGTGAATTTTTAAAGTTGATGTCCATTTCAAGTACATATATACTTGAAATTAATATTAGTACTAGTAGTTGAAATACTAATACCAATACTATGACTAGTGTTATTGATGTTATCAGTATTAATCATTTCTCCCTTCTTCAAAGGTCTCCAAGAACCTATAATTTTTTCTTTTAGAACTTTCAGTAAAATGGATCCTTCATGAAAATGCAGTTCATCCTTTGGCTGCAGTGCTTTGACACACTACAGAAACTGTAAAGGTTTCCCTTCCTTCATCTCCCAGGCGCAAGCCAAACTACCCCTAGTTGGAGAGGCAAGTTAGGGAACGAGGAACAAGATATAACGGCTTCACATCTGTCACCATAAGTCCCACTTACCACTAACATAGTTTGTAGAAGTTAATTCAGAAATTATGACTAGGCAATAGAAAATAGACATCACAGACATGGGAATACTAAAGTTAAATGAAACCAGAAACCCAAAAATTAAAAGGAGAAGTAGGGACATAGCTAATATTAAATAATAAAACAAGTTAACATTGAAAAAGTAAAATAAAAAATTTAATAATGAAATTTAATAAAATTTAAAATAAAAATTTAATAATAAAAATTTAAGCTGTTAAAAATTGATGACTAATGAGAACTGCACACTTACAGAGCAAAATTGACAAGTATTGTCCATTCCTAAAATGATCCTCCAGGCTTAATGAACCACTCCTACCTAGGTCACTCAGGTGAGGGCAGTCTTTCTGCCCTCCGTCACCTGGAACACAGAGCCCACCCAGGGCATCAGGTAATCATGCCTGTCCCATGAGCAGGCCAGGATCTCCAGGAAAGCGCCATTGTCACATCGTTGCTCCACCCTGTGAAAACTCATATAGGTGATAACATTATAGCAGCCTGGTGGAGGACTACAGCAGGGCAGCTCCTTCTCCCTTTCTCACATATAACAGGAGATATCAGGTGAGGTGCATCCACAAGTAATAGAGGTGCAGAATGAGCTGGAATTCTATCTGCCTCTCATGTAACATTCTGCTCCATGAAGTCCTCAGGGCCTCAGGCTTCTACTCCCCTTGCCAAGGACATTATACTGGCCCATGACAGAACTCTAGCCAGCTCTCTACAAGAAGAAAGCAAGTAGCAGCAAAGGGTACACATCAGTTGCCATATAAAGAAGATTCCAGACTGCCACGCACTATATCCACTCATACCCACTGGCCAGATTAAGTAACATTTATCTGCCAGTGTTTATGGGAAGTGCAGTTTTAATTGGGTGGGCTGCAAATTCCATTACGGTGGAAAGTGAGAATGAAGATTAGAGATCAACGACCAGTCTCTGTTCAGGGAGACGCATCATTAGCGCTCTTCTCCCTTCCTTTGCTTGGGAAGACATATTTATTTCAGTGACAGTCAATTTAAAGCCCTCTCATGGTGGGAGATTCCTCTCATGGTGGAGGGAAGAAGACTCCATGAACAAATAGTGGCATAAATATGAATGTTTCTGTACATTGTAAGATGAATTATAATTTTATCAATGATGCCAACATGTCGCTGTTGTCTAATGTAACAGGAACCTGTGAAAAATAAAGTCAGTTCATTTGTGAAGACTCAGGGTCACTTCTTTACAAAACCATTTATTTTCTGGTTTGACTTTTGACTCCTATTCAGTTTCCTGAATATCCTAACCCCTGAATAACTTATTCACGTGAGTAAGCAGTCTTTCTCCCCATTTTCCTCTTTGGAATAGGCCTATTGGACCTAAAGAAATTCACTGCATAACTCAGAGGAGTGTACAGGTCCTCTGTTATGTCTCCAGCACCATGTGAGTCACTAACAAGTACCATAAACAAGGACTCTGTGAAGTAAAGGTGTACTCCTGGGGCCTCAGTTTACCTCTTGTAATAAAAGGTTTGAATTGGATCTGGTGGTTCTAAACCTATGGTCTCTATAAGAATTACAATAAGTAGCTAGTTCAAAAAATATTAAAATCTAACTAGATGAATAAATGTAATATGATGAAAAATTCAATGATATGATTTCATATTCCACACTATAATTACCCTTTAAGAAACTGTTATCCAATTTTGATAAAATATCCAAAAATTAACATGTACCTGGAAATGCTATCAAAATAACCCTTTTCCCCCAACTACATATCTGCAAGAGATCGGATTTCAACTAAAACAGCGTGTCACAACAGATTCAATGTGGAAGCAACAAGAGGGGCTAGCTATTCTCTATTAAACCAGATATTAAGAAGACTTGCAAAAAATGTAAAATACGCACCAGAGATATAGCTCAGTGGCACACGTGCCTGCTTGGCAAGCGTAAGGTCCTGAGTTTGAGTCCTGGTACCAAAAAAGAAAAAAAAAAATACAGTAATAGTACTATTCTCACTAAATTACTTGTTTTGGAAAATATAATTTTTTCATAATACATGGTGTGTATATTAATGTGTGATGATTTTATTATTGCTACTTTAAAGTAGACTAATAAATACTATTTTTAAAAAGTTAAATGCAGATTCCAAGTTCCTCAAACCACCCCCACCATACACACTGCCACCACCATGACTACCAAAGATTCTGGTTCAGTTAGAATGAGGTTGGCCTGGAATATTCTGTATAATTTCCCCAGATGATTACCATGCAGGTATTTCTCAGCCTACACTTTGGACATGAGCTATCTAAATGCCTTACCACCCACAAACTGTAAATAGAAAGAAGGAAAGGAAATACATTATTTTAAGGTGAATGGAGCAATTTCAAACAGTATTTTAGTTTTCTCTGAGTATATTTCAGGGCCAGTCACATGGCCTCACCAAAGAGAAGATTTTGAGTTAATGCCTTAGTGACACGGCTCCTATACCTGTCCTTAAACCTACCTTTCTGGCCGGTGCATTTAGCTGTGTTTGAACTCAGTGTTTCCTTTGGTAAAGCTGTTCCCCATTATACCAATTTATCAAAGGATTTATAACCTTTAAGGTAAAGGTCTCTGAAACAGGGCCCTAAGGATGATCCCCGCCATAGACACATTAAAAGCACTTCAAGTACATTAATGTCCGCAGTCCCAGGATTTATTGTGACACCGTAAAGCCTCTTTTCAGAAAGTATACTCTTAGTTCCATTTATCCCACAGCCTTTTCCAGAAAGAGATTAGAAGTAAAATGATTTGAGATAGAATCAAAGAATTCTATCTCTTTAATTACTGTGTTAAACACAGGAACATCTAATACAAATATTTGGCTATGTGGTCCAGCATTGGCTCTAAGGTCACCCAGAGGAAATTTATAGGGATCTCTAAAGGCCCTACACAATAACTGCCTTGGGTTATGACTTCTTGAATTGCTCTTCATTCCCAATAGCACTACACTTAGATGTAAATAAAATTTGCTGAATTAGGGCACAGTGCTGGTTAAAATGTTTAATCTTTGCTTTAAATGAGTTGTGGTCTTCGAAGGCTTTGTGTGTGGTGGAAGGGGGCACCTTTACACAATGTTAGCTTTTCTTACACAGTCTAATGACTCACTAATTTAAAAATGTTTCCTGGGTAGATGCCAGGGTATCTAGTTAACATGGGAAGGGGAGGAAGCAAAACCTATTTTTAAAATATTCTAGGTTAGTGCAGTCTTACATTGCCTAATACATTATTAAATATATTCTCTACATGGTCCTATTAAATGCTGTGGTTGAGAAGTCTCCAGTCATGCACTCAGACATGAAAACCTGTCTCACAAATGCGATTTGATGTTTCACTCCACAGCATTTTACACCACGGGCTCAGGACCACCTGTCGCTGAGGTGCCAGATTTGTTCCTTGCCTGATGTGAAAGGCAGCTGTGCTGAGGAGGAGAAGAGGCAAAGGAACCTCCTTTGACCAGGACAGATTGTGTAGGACAAGAAGCAAGGGGAAAGAAAAAGCCTAAGGCCAATCTGTAGCACAGGAGTGTACGTTCCATTTCAGACGGCTTTAAATGGACTTTATCTTTTCACTAAGTTTCAACTCCAGGTTCTCTTTAAATACTGTGCTGGGTAAACACTGAAATGTCTCCCTCTAACTGCACACTTCTCTCACAACACCCCAAAGATTACTGCACCCTTGCATGGTACCTGCAGGCCTTTGTTTCCGTTTGTACCTCTGTCTAGAATACCGCTCATGACCTCATGGACTCTCTTTCGACTCGGCATGCCCACAGCCTTGCCCAGTGTGCGGCTACTGGTAGATGTCCACTAAATGTTGATGGATAAAGCAAATCCTCAGTTTAACACCTCTTTTAAAGTATAAAATTTCCTTATGAAGGTCAGAGAGCAGTTGACTATTGTCATTGATGGGTATGATTTAGCGTAATCAGACTGCTCTCCCTTGGGAAGGGTCAATGTGATGAACAATTCTGGAGCATGGAGCCTAGGAGAAACGAGACAAGACGGCAGGCCCGGCTCAGAACATCAGGGAGCAGCCAGGGAGCAGTGTGAGGGCTCCAAGCACATGGAGGGTGTGAGCCGGATGTGAAGAAGCCTAGGTAATTTTCCAAAGTGGCTCCACATCATTGTTCTTGGTAGAGGCTTTCTCTCTCTTGAGCTTTAAGAAAACTTTCTTTTTTCTCACTCCCCACTCTAGTTTCAGGCCTTTGAAAAGCCAAACATCTTTAGCAAAAAAGATTTGCGAGTTAACTTGTTTTGAGCTTCTGGGGCAGGGGTGGTGAGTGGGGTACCTCAGGGGAGGACCAGGGGAAGTCAGTGAGGCCTCCGCGGTGACGCTAGGCTGAAGAACCCAAAAACTCATTTAACTGCCCAGTCTCGGACAGACTTACCATCTTCCTTTCTGACAATGACGCTATTTTCATCATCAAAAAGAGGCTCTTGTTCGTTGTTCTCATAATAACACTAAACTAGAAATAGCCTGAATGTCCAGTAATGGAGAAGTGGTTACATAACCTAAGGATTACTATGCAAGAGTTTAAAAGTATGGTTAAATGGGTAAATCAAACAAAGTGAAGAATTTTAAAATTTTTCTCATATTGTTAAATGAGAAAAGCAAATGGAAAAAGTGTCATAAAACTAGATCTGGAAACACCACAATAGGGGAGAGTAAAGGCAAAGGAGTCAAAAGTTAATTTGTTCTTTATCTGTACTGGTGCTGGAAACAATAACAAAAAATCAAACTGTGGCTTTTCCTCTTGAAAACCAAAAGGAGAGAGATTCACCATTCACATTATAGTTGATCTTCCATTCTCTTAGCTTCCTGGGTCATCACCTCCAGTAGGTAGAACCAGAGCATTTCTACTTCATACAGTCTATGGTCCTGCTGTCCTTACAGTTATCGTGGGTGACCACTGAGCACTTGAAATGTGGCTCATCTGAAATGAGGTGGGCTGTAGAATAAAAATACACACAGAATCAAAAGGCTTTTTGTATGAAAAAACCCCTAACCTGGTTGTGGTGACACACGCCTGTAATCCCAGCACTCAGGAGGCTGAGGCAGGAGGATTGGTGTGAGCTAGAGGTCAACCCAGGCCAGCCTGAACAGCATAGTGAAACCCTGTCTCAAAAA